CTCTGTAGCCCGTCTGGTTTCCTCTACTTCATATCTATACTGTATTCTACATGTACATAGTAAACCTGACAGGAACACGTTCTTGTATCACTCAGTTCACATCAGGATGTGTTCGGCTCAGACTGGAAGCAGCAGAAGCTACGAGCAGAGCGCCATAACTGAGTCTCCACGGCGCCACCTGCAGGCCGAACGCCATCAAAGCTGACTTGCCGACTTTATAAATCAAACTGAAACTGGCCACACCTGCAGGAATTGACCAACCAGCTGCTAGAAACATGGAACGACTTCATTTGTTTAACTTTCTGTTCCAATGGGGTGAAAACGGACGAGCCAGGATGGAAAAACGGCTCCAAGGTTGGTCTAGAGAGATCATTATATCGACTGTGTGGGATGTTTATGATCATATATCTGTTTTATTTAAACATTTCTGATCTCAGCTTGTTCCTTATTGTGGCTGTCAGCTGACAGGTCATGTAGATGTTTAAGACTTTATGAGTAGAAATGACGTCTGAGCAGCTTTTCTGTTTCTGAGTTTTCACCTCATCAGCATTAAAGTATTAAACATTAAAAACAGGTGACGTTTGGTTTCTCCTACAGTTCGTCTGCAGACGTCTCTAATCCAGTGTTTACACCCAGAAGCTTCCTTCTGCCTCCAGCCTGAGCTCGACCCAACACATCCTGGATCGGCTTCTGTTCTGACCCACAGGTAGTAAAACCGGTTCCGTTTTCTCATCTGATTTCTAAACAAGAGGACTTTGAGGATGCCAGAGAGCTCCTTCAGCTCTTCAAACGTCCCAATCAAACGGGGAAGAACGGCAGTGGCAGTCGAGACGATGAGGGCCAAAAAGGTTTCTACAACAGTTCCTGTCGGTTCAGGTTCTATTGGCCTGCGAGGGAAGGCGGGTCGGCTGATTATCTGCCAATCAAAACCCTGTCCTCCGAACCCTGACTGTCAGTCATCAACTACAGGCACCAGGGTACCAAAAAAACAGCAAAAACAAAGTCAAGCGCCCAGAAAACGTGGAACCACAGAAAAAAAAAAAGCTGAAAAAAAAAATACAAAATCGAGCAACAAGAGCAAAAAGCCATGAAAGGTGGAGAGCCGATAATCCGCTGCGATCAGGACGGGTCCACTTCGGTTACATCCACAAAGAGAACAGAGCCGCCGAGACAAAAAGTACAAATCCACTCGCCGGAAAACCACCGAGCAAGGACGCCGAGGAGGGAAAAAGAGCCCGAAGACGGTTAATCCCTCGTTACTCAGGACAATCCCTCCCAGAAAAAAAATCTTTCATCTGTTTTTTTTTTATTCTCCTCAACGGGAACAAGAATCTGAAACATGAAGCCAAAAAAATCAGTTCACGACCACAGGCAAGGAGGGACGGGACGGGAGAGATCCTCCGAAGTGCAGCAGAGAGGAAGAAAAAAAAGCTTGAGGACTTAATCTGTTTGGTAAATCGGCGAAGGAAGCAAAAAAGAAAAAGAAAAAAGAAGCTTTAGATGCTCTTTGTGTCTTTAGTTTTGTCTTAAGGCAGTCTTTTTTGTCCGGCCGCCCTCTCCGGCTGGGTGCTTGACGACGCTCCACCTACAAGAGGATAGATACGAACGTCTTACACCTCAGGAAAGGCAGAAAACACATTCCATGCAAAATGTCTCATCAATGAGGGAAAAACAAAAAAAAATGTCAAAAAAGTAGGATTAATTGAAAGCTGGCGGAAGAAAAAAATAATGTTTGGAAAAAGAAGCTCATTAAAAAATGCAGGAGGTGGTTTGCAGAGCCACAATAACGCAAAATAGAGAAAAAAATAGTAGAAACAATTCTCACACTGTCACAGTTAAATGCAGCAATTAATTACAAGAATCAGACCAGATTAATAGATCACATCGTTAAGACCTCTGCTCCTCACATGACAGCAAAACATAAAATGGTCAAACTGGATGCAACACTCAAAAACAAGTCTGAAATGAGCACAAACATCATGTGTTTGGAGGTTGTTCAAACGGTACCTTCAGCCTAAACTGAACCCCAAAAAGAACCGAGTCAGAAACTCCAATGATTAACATATGTGGCAGCGGTTTGCTTAGAATTCAGTCACGCATTGGAAATGATTAAATCAAGTCAGCTGATGGTTCAGTTAAGCAGCGTGTTAGCAGTTTGTGTTAGCTAGTTAACAGTTCAGTGTTAGCTAACAGTTTGGTGTTAGCAGTTCAGTGCTAGCTAACAGCTAAACAGCTTAAACTGTTTAGCTGCTTTAGCTCACAGTTAATGTAACATTTGAACCATCTGTTACCTAGCTTAACTCTGTCTAACAGCTACAACTACTGGGTTTGGGTTAGCTAATAGTTCAACAGTGTGACATGGGTTTACTCACTGTTCTATAAAACAGCTACAACTGTTTAGCTGCTACCAGTGCTAACAGTGCTAACAGTGCTAAGGGCTGCACCTTAAATGGTTCCAGGCTCAGTTCAGTACAGCAGCTACAGTAGTTGGGTTTGTGTTGGTCAAACTCACATTTTGCTCCATAAAAATGGTCCAAGCGGTTGACATGAACAGCTAACGTACTTTGGTTATCGTTAGCAAAAAGCTGCATGGTTCAGTCAACAGAGCATCGGCTGGACGAGCCGCTTTACATGCAGCACACAGAGGATTTGCATTGGAAGCTATTTGTTTATCAGGTTTGCATGTTCATGCTCATTTCCCACATTCCAGGGAACCGCGGACGTAACACGGTTTACAGACAGAACCAGGCCCGATGCGAACCGGCTGATCCTGGAGCAGTAACCATGAGCAACAGGTCGGTGTGACTGGACTAAACCCAGCCAGAGCAAAACCAACATGCAGGTGGTCTCAGTTTGCACAGTGAAGGCAGTGGATTGTGGGTAATCCTCCACCGGAGCTGCTACTCCAGTCCGGATAAAACTACAACCAGCCACAGCCAATAAGTCTGCTTCCCTGCTTTCAACCTCACTGTCGATTTAAAGTTCAGAATCTCTGTAATACTCCAGTTTTATTGGAGCCAAACCTCCACTTAGTTTTTATTTGTACCTGCAAACACCTCGACGAATGCAGAGCCGCTGCGACGTTGTTCTGTGATTGTCTGAGCTTACACCTGAGCTGCACGTCTAAAGGTGTGAATCTAAAGTCTGAACAAACGCAGCTGACATTTGTGCAGCCGGCGGCGACTCAGGTGAGCAAACCCAGAGTCCAGAGGTCGTATTAGTGCAGGCACAGCGCGACTTCCTGTTCAGCCTGAGCGCTGCTGGTCCACCATCACGAGTCCTGAAGCTAACGCTGTGTTTATGTGACGGGAGATTAAAGCTCCGCCGACCTTCAGCTCATGAATCAAGTGGACCTGGAGGTTCACTGAAGCTGCAGCTGCAGGCTGTCGTGATCTTGCATTAGTTCATGCATGTGTGTGAGGTCGCACCGTGGAAGAGCGTGCACGCACAGCAGTCACGCACGTGCACGAGCAGCGCTGCAGCTGCATGTTTGAGGGATGAGCTGAACGTTTTTCTGCTTTCTGTCCTCTCTCCTGCCTCGTCTCCTTCTCCCTCCTCTTGGATTCTGCCTCCTCCTCGCCCTCCTCCCCCCCTCCCCCTCCCTCCCATCGCGGCAGCATCTGTTCATAATGAAACACACAGTTGGACGTCGTCCTCGTTTAGCGCCTCCTCCACGCTACCTGCTCCAGAGGTTACCTCCCGCCAGGCGCGTTTGTTAGACATCATCAGCACCTCCCAGCGACCTTCCCTCCCTCCCCCCGTCCTCCTCCTCCTCCTCCAGATGTCATTGATCTGGGAAGTGGGTCACAACAGCGCTGAATCAAAGCCCGGTTACGCGAGGCTCCGAGGCAGACACTGGGTGTAATTTTAGCGTGGGTTCATATTTACGGGGGAGAATAAGAAATGCGACGGGTGACGTTTGGAGCTCTCGCAGGTTGTGATCAGAGCGTCTGCAGCCTGCAGACATGACAGATGCTGAAGGTGCAGCGGGTGAAGATGTTGGCCTTCACGCCGCGCCGACGTGTAAATAGGACTGCTAATTTGGAAGGAGCAGGAATATTTGGCTCTGAAATATTTCCAGGATGAAACACGAGAACCGACCTCAGATCCACTGAACGACAGATTTAAACCAGGAGCAGCACCGAGCACCAGGTGTACCTCAGAGAGCAGACCTGAGACCTGCTCAGACCGAACCATCAGAACCATCAGAACCATCAGACGATACCAGATACGTCCAGGAGGAAATGTGCAGAATATTCACTGTTAGAAAACCTTCATATCTGAATGTATTCAGAGCAACAGTGGAGCCGCTTCAGGGGATTTTTTAAAAACTAAAATCAAGAAATTTAAGAAGAAAAGGAATAAAAACATTTTAACAAGAACGTAGCTGCCTTGAGCGTGGATGTTCTTCTAAATCCTGGGACCTCAGATTTGTATTAAAATATTCTGTAGTCAAGGCTGAGCTGCTCTCTGGCAGTCTGAAGGAGGCTCTGAGGGTCCGTGAAGGCAACACCAGGACCTTGTGTTTGGTAGAAGAGCCTTAGAGGACAGTCGGGTCCTTCTACAGACCGGCTGGACGCTGCTGGAGCTCCACGGCTCACAGCTCGTGGACGGGTTTTATTTGTCTGAAGAGTTCATTTGCAAAAACAGATGACTCCATGTCTGTAGATGTTCAGAAAGCTTATTGAGAGGACATCAAAGAAAAAACAAGTTAAGTTTGACTGATGCTGTCTCAGGTAGACGATGGATCAGTGGGTTTATGAAGGTTTATGAAGATGGAGTTTGCCAGACGGTGTTTGCAGCTGCAGGTTCTTAAAGGACAGATGTGGACGAGGAACGTGAGGGAACGCCTGCTCTGTCCATGGAAGCGACCTTCAGCGAAGCCCAGAAGAGCTGCTTGGTGGCCGCCGGGCTGGTTCAGCTGGACGTTAATGGATCCGCCCTACTGTACATGCACCAACACCTGGACCTCCACCTGCACCAGGACCGGGCTCAGATGCTCCTGAAAACCTGCTCTGGTTGGCAGATTGTCTTGGAGCTGTACTTCCTGGTTCAGAATCCAATCAGGGAGCAGCAAACCCCCAACTGAAACCCAAACTCAGGTGTTAATGTCTCCTTCAGGATATGTGGAACTCCCAACCAGTCAGTCAGAGCTGATGAAGCCTCCTGGATGAAGGTGGAACGTCTTCAAGGAACTCAAGCAGAAGAACCAGGACCTGGAGGACTGAGGATCTTCAGACATCACAACCTACAGCATCGTCTGCAGGAGAGAGACTCTACTGATCATCTCCTCATCCAGGACAACCCGGATCCACAGTTCAGCACCGGACAGGAAGTTAAACAGCTACAAGGACGAGGACGTTCATGTTCGACCTGCTGAAGTTTGAGGAGCCTTAAAGAAAGAAGACCGAGGCTGAACTCTGGAGGTTCACGTTGAAACGACTGAAGCAGATGTTGGGATGGACGTATGGAGGCCCGTTCTACACGTCATACATGGTTAAGGAGTGAAACCCGGCGTGCACGGCGCTGAAGAACAACATGTGGTGTTCATACCAGCAGGTGGCGCTGTGCAGCTCTTTGAAGCCTGTTCTGGGTTTAACTCCTGGAGGAGACGGCACGTCTATGAGCTCCTGATTTACTTCAATCACTGTCTGAGCTGAAACTAATTAGTCCAGGAATGTAGGCTAGACCTGTTCTGGGTGGAGGTTCTTCTACCTGGAACTAGTGACCAGACAACCTCACCCGGGTCGAGCCGGAGCGTCCTTCTGTTTCTACGGGTTCAGAGTCTGAAGCTGATGGCTGTCCTGATGAACAAACACGGTAACGAATCAGCGTGAGCGCGTTGCCGTCGTGGTTCTACGTGTTCGTTTATAGTCGGACTTCAGCAGCGTCGGGATGATTTAAGGAACATTATCAGGAGTTCTGAACCACAGTTCTACTGGATGGAAGATGAAGATCCGTCCCTGTTCTAACTCCACAGACAGACTCTGTGCGTCTAAAACAAACCCGGCGCGGCCCGATCCGATCAGGGTAGACGCCCTCTGCTGTTCACCGCAGATTAACCGAATCAAAGCCGCCGGTTCAGAGCGAGCGGTTAGGAAGCCTAACGCCCGTCCATCTGTTCAAAGCCAGAAACAAAGAGCTCTGAGGGAGCTTCAACCCGCCGGAGGAGCTCGACTGAAGGCAGCTCGACCTTCTACCGAGCAGCGCCGGGGATTCTCCTGGTCCGGATCAGACCGGACCTACTGCTGTAATAAACAAGCAGCTGGTTGCAGAAAGTATTGAATCACACCTAAACAGCGGCTCCAATAAAAGCTGGAAATGATAAATCAGTGTTTCTCCTCCAAGGACGCCCGACAGCTACGCTCTGCAGCCGGAGCTGCTTTGTATGCAGCCGGCGCCGGCGCTGTTTGTTCTGGTTCTCTTTGTTTTCTTTTGCAGATTAAGACCAAGTTTGCGCGGCGGAGGTCGGAGGTCAGCGCGGAGCCGAAGCAGGCAGCAGTTCAGATCCACAAATAACATCTACAAAGACAGGAAGCGGCGGCGGCGGCGGCGGCGGCGGGACTCAGTCGTGCGCTCCGGAGGGGGCTGCAGACGCTCGCAGCCTCCGTCTTCATCCTTCCCGCCTGCATTCTGTAGCAGAGACGTCGCACGTTCCCACATTACATCCAGTTTGTTTAATCTATAAAATAACCACTTGGCTGCTATCTCTGCTGGCAACCTCTCAGAGCCGAGCCGGAGCCGAGCCGAGCCGGGACGTCACCCCTCGCTGTTTTTATGCTGCAGCTTTTGTAGCGATTGAACAAACAAGGCATAAAGTGCTAATTAATGAGCTTTGGATTTGATGCCTTTGCATGAAGCCAGATTTCTGTCTGTTTGCGCTAAGCTACGCTAACAGCCTGCTGGTTGGCTCTGGTTTCAGATGTAACGTACATGAGAGAGGTCTGTTCTGGTGGAATAAACCCGACCTTCACGTTCAAACGGGGTGAGGACACCAGCTCTGGAGCTTCAGTGTGGAGTCGCCCTCCAGTCAGATAGTGGGACTGTGGAGTGAAGCTCGAGCTGCAGACATGCACAGAGCAGCACAAGGACAAGCAGGAAACAGGCTTCGAACCCTCAGGACGGCGAGTCAAGCGTCCGGATCGTCCGTCAGAAGCCGTGGAAGAAACCCTGACAGAGCGCCGGCAACCGCTGGACAGAAACCGGCTCTAATGACGCCGAACTGAAACTAAAAACAATCCTGAGGCGATATGTAAAGTGGATAAACTCCACCGCCTGCCGTCCCAGCAGCCGCCAGGAGGTTGATCAACTGATTTAGTGCTCGATCACACTCTGAGTTATGAGACCGGCGGCGTCCAGGGGAATGGAGGGTTTAATTAAAGTCAACAGTGATGAGGAGGAGAAATATGGTGGGAAGCACCAGGGATGGATGGATGGATGGATGGATGGATGGATGGATGGATGGATGGATAGACAGATAGATAGATAGATAGATAGATAGATAGATAGATAGATAGATAGATAGATAGATAGATAGATAGAT